AAATGAAGGTTCCGTGGACTTTCTCCCATGGACTTTAGTAGCAATCATTTTTAGTGGAAAAAAGAACATTCAGAATTATTCTTAAAGCTGAAAAAAACCCACTAACTATTCTAAGACTAAAATGCTGGTCTTAGCTTATTATTAAGAGAGAGGATTGAGAAGTGATAGATCCTTGCAGCTACCTGCACCCACTCCCCCACTCCTGAGGGCCAAGTCTCTACTTCCCTGCTGGCTGTGCTCCTTCTGTCTGGCCCAGTGGATCTCCCCCCAACCCCCCAGCACCACTCAGAGCCCCTATCAGAACTGCACTCACAATAAGACCCTGTAAGGCTTCCTGCTAAATTGAAAACCTTTCCAAATGGCTCTTCCAAGAGTCAGGGTGTTACCATGAGCTCCGTCCACATCACTGCCCAGTGCTCTTTATTAGAAACCCTGGAAGACACCCCAGCACCTCCGTTCTCTACCAGAAGACCAGAACTGAATGGGGCCTGGCCAGGGACACTGCACATTTGGAGTAAAGATGCCATGATCAGAACTCTGATCAAAAGACAGGGACAGAATCTTCAATCTCTTGGGACCAGGACTTTCTGTGGTCTCTGAGGCTAGCAAACACCTAACACGACAGCCCAGAGATGACCTTTAGACTTGAAACCAAGCTTCCCCTGAGGTCCTCTGAACGCCACAGATGAAGCACGGTAACTTCACTAGTAAAGACGATCAGTCTAGAGCTTGGTGGTGTTTGAAGGTCTACACGGGGGCTTCAGAAAGCTCATGAAAAAGTGAATAAAAGATAATGGAATTTTCCCTAGAACTTTTTGAAGCCATATCATATGGGATCAAATTGACAACAGCAACTCGAAAGGTTAACCAGGAAACTTAGGGGCAGTGAGTTGCTGTGAGGAGTGGAGGAACAAGCTGGAAAGAGGGAGAGAATGGTTGTACAGCTTGGAGAAAGTAAATCACTGTCACTGAATTGTGCAGGGAGGAATTGCTGCATCAGTATGTTCTGCTAGGCATATTTTCAACAACCACCATAAAATAATACAAATTACTACACAAAAACTGTTGGGAAACTTCCCATTTGATCTTGTCACCAAAGAGCTACAAATCCTCTGAGCAGTATGTCTTTATGTCACTTTACACCTCATGCACATAAGAGGGATGGACATAAGGGTCCCTTCTGACAGATGGTGCCACACTCACACCTGCAGCACTGCACAGCCAGCAGCACACGTCTGACATCATGGCTCAGCACTCTTCATCTGCCCACGTGGCAACACGTGCCTTCAGAGGCTCGGTGCAGTGTGCACAGAGCACTGATGAGTAAGGCGAACTTGACTGCAATGGGGCATAAGCACAGGCTCCACCGGCAGGCAGATGCACTGTCACCATGCAGACAAGGCGGGAAGGTGTCCAGTTCTGCCATGGGCTCTCACTCACAAGGCCTGGACACGGCTACTGCCTCCACCCACCTTAGCTCCATCACTGGGGAGAAGAGCATGCTGAGGAGTGCCGGCAGGCCTGGGATGTGGGGCATCAGAGAGGTCTCTCTCAGCAGCATGGTGGACCCTGCCAGACAGACACCAGAGTGGAAGTCAGATCAGCCCTAGAGCTCCTTCATCATTCCCCACATACCCACCCCAAAAGCTAAGAGCTCCCTACTCTCTATTAAGGGCCGCAGACACCGTACTGCAGCACTCCAGCACTGGTCCCTCCTGACACCTCTTTCTGTCACTGTCCCCACCTCCCCGGGCTGTGAAGGATCTCCAGGGCCAGACCCTAGTCGGTGGCCTCCTCTGCACCTTGCGGGATGAGTAAGATCAGGAGGCATCTCACTGCCACATCTTCACATAAAAAGAGCAAAGCCTGCCTCCCAGAGGACTCAGAAAACTGCCTGGAAATACAGCCCACTCACTACAGGAAGAAACACTCCAAGTAAGGGAAGCCCACACCACAGGAAGACTGGGGACAGAGAACCTTCCAAGTCCTACGTTACCGGTCGCATTGACTGAAAGAGAAGCCGCCAGCAGCATTCTCTGGTGGAGGTCTTCAGGGGCGTCGCTGATGATGACAGAGTTAATGCTTTCCTTTTCAATCCAGACGCACCTAGAGCAAAGAACCGTCAGGGGATGAGGGTCACCTGGCCCCACCCATGATAAGGACGTCTTAAACACACAAGTGCCAACAGCAGCAGGCAGAAGCACATGGAACTGCTCACATTCCTACTGGCCCACCTCCTCCTCTCCCCCTGCCTCCAGGTAGGGTGACCGCTCCATCCCAGTGCCCTAACTCGGACTCTGTCGTTTCTGTGAGGACACCAACTGCATTGTACTCACTAGTCACCCCCAAGCTGTCCACTGTGGCTGGCAGATTGAGCGCCCTCACACTGACCAAACACCAACCACAGCAAGATGGGAAGAAAAGATTCTCCAAAATACCTCACAAGTGGGAGGGAGGGTTGTTATGGAAGAGACAAAGAACAGAGGGCAGGCTTGATGGCAGCTAGGGTGGAGGTGCAGTGAAGTTCACTGTCAGCAATACCACAGAATACCAGGCAAAGCAGATCCAGGGCAGAGCTCCAAAACTCAGAACCACAGAGATGGGAATATTTTGAAGACTTGAAGCCTTATAGATTGTGGAACATGAAACTGAAGTAAAAAATCGTGTACTTTTGAATCTGCCAGGCTGGGCTCGGAGGCCCAGAGCCGATATCTTGGGTGAGACCAAATGGCATGACCAAGCGGGGGAGCAGACACACCACAGAAAAATGCTGTGGGAACCTTAGAGCAAAGGTGGACAATACAGTTTGTCAGTTTTTCTTTTTTTTTTTTTTTTTGTGGTATCTGGTCATTGGCGCACCCACTGTTTGCCCACCTCCATTCTGGTGACTAGAGGGGGAGCATGAGCGAGTGGACACACCCCACCCTCACCACTAAAGGGTTCTTCTGCCACGCATGCGCACAGATACTCAGCTGAAGAGCAGGCCCTGAAGGTTTTTTGCTTGTTTGTCTTTTGTTTTGTTTTTTAATACAGGAAAGGGCAGGACAGGGCTGTAGAGAGGGAAAGAGAGTTTAAAAACAAAACAGGCCAAAAATTAAATTAAAGCCTGAGGTATAGCCTAACAACCAACAGTGGCATCTTGAAATCTCTCAGGCAGCTTTGAAAGAAAGAAGCAGAAGAGAGGACATTAAAGTCATCTTATATTAGGTTACAGATTTTTTTTTTCTCTCTTCTCTCCCTTTTCTGTGATTAGCGACTGCAGTATTCAGTCTAGCTTTTGCTGTTGCTGTTTTTCGTTTGTTTGTTGTTGTTGTTTTTTCTCTTGTTTTTTTTCCCCACTGGTGCTGTTTTGCTGTTATATGCTCCCCCTTCGACCTTTGGAGGACTCTTTCTGTCCATATGTTATACAAGAAGAGTCAGCAACTGCTGCCATATAGCCAAGCTACAATCACACTCTATGAAACACCAAAACCCACGCAAGAACCAATACCAACTGCCATATACCAGGGAAACATACAACACCTGTGAGTTACTCTGAGTTAAGCAGTAAGAAGAATGAAAAGGGACACCACATCCTGATTACATTTTCCTGGAAGCAATCAGAAAGCATAAAAAATACCCAAACACATACTCCATTAAGTACTAAGGCCACAGATAAACACTAACCATGTCCAAGAAGGAAAAGCAGATGACCATATTAGCACATGTCCAGAAACAAGATAAAGTGTCTGAGACAAATGACCTAGAGGTAGACCTGGACTCCATTCTGGAAGGAGGGCAGGCCTTGGAAATGCCTGAGAAGAAATTCAGAATAATGAATATAAAATGTTTCAAAACACTTTACAATGGAGTTGAGAAAAATAAGGAAGAAGTCAGGAAAGCACTACAGGAACAATCGAATAAGATAGATACAGCATTGGAAACAATTCAAAACCTACAGAAAAGAAGTCCAAACAATGAATAACAGAATATCAGAAATACACAATACTCTGAAAGGACAAAGGAGTAGAACAGATGAGATGGAAGGCAGAACCAGTGAACTGGAAGACAAATCTCTCACTACCACTAAGATAGAAGAACAAACACAAAAAAGTATTAATAAAAATATCTGAAGAAGGTCTAAGATTCATGTTGGACAACCTGAAGAGGAATAACTTAGAATTATCAGCATTCCAGAACAAGAATCCCACAAGTCCACAGAGGAAACAGTTGAAGAACTGCTGGAAGAAAATTTCTCTAACATCCTGAAAAGTGAAAAGATCAACATTCAAGAAGCTCAATGAACCCCAGGAAGGACAGACCCCAAAAGAAAATCACCAAGACATATCAAAGTCAAGCTCTCCAAAATCAAAGATAAGGAGACAATTCTGAAAGCAGCCAGGGAAAACAGAAGTGCCACATACAAAGGCAAGCAAGTCACATTAAGCTCAGATCTCTCTGCAGAAACCATGCAAGCAAAAAGGCAATGAGGAGACATACATAAAACTCTGAAAGAAAAAAAATTGCCAGCCAAGAATCCTTTATCCAGCAAAGCTATCAATCAAATATGACG